AGAAGCCTGTGGAGAATGGCACGCTGAAGGAGACTACAAAATTAGAAGGACTTCTCTTTTCTTTTTTTTTTTTTTTCTCTTTGTTTGTTTTGTTTTCTTTCCTGCACTCTTTCCTTCACACGGCCAGGCGTCCACCCACCGCGGACGCCTCCTGACATGTTTGTCTTGCTCCTTTTGTCCCAGTGCAGGAGACGAACGAACAGCACCCACAGGGGAGAGGGAGAGAAGAGTAAGCGAAGGAAAAGGAAGGAATGATCGTGAAGAAATTATGAGCACGGAAAAAAGGAAAAAGAAAAACGGAAAAGATATGAAAGGAATAATAAAATAATGAAAGAAAAGTGAAGGAGATGAAAGGGGGGAGTATACGCACAAGGATGTATGCAGGGACAGGAACGTTGCAGGAAGAAAGACGGAAGAAAAGGAAAAAAAAAGGCTATTTGGTGGTTTAGTAAATAAAAACAATAAAAAAACTCCAAAATATATAAAATTGTTTTCTTGTTTTAGTTTTTTTGTTAATTGATGTACCTGCAATGGTTTGAACAGTGGGCTGAGATGCGGAAACTTCTGTGCAGTCTGTACTCTACAGGCATATGTATGTATATATATATTTACATATTTATATGCATTTATTTGCTTTCCCTCCTTCTGCTTTGTGGTAGTGCGCGTGTGTTTTTCAGCGGTCATTTTGAAATGAATATATGATGATAGGGAAAAAAAATAAAAAAAAAATATTTGAGAGTAAAGGCAAAATAAAAAGGAAAGAAGAAGAGAAGAAATTTTTAATGGAAATGAAATACTGATTTGCTATTATTATTATTTTTTTTTTTTTTTTTTTTCATTATTATTTTTGTTAGCAGCATCACATTCCCATTCCTTTTCCGTTTGTTATTATATTATGTCGGGAATATCAAGAAATGGTGGTGCACATTGGACTCCTTGCGCTCAATTACGTTTGGACACGGCAGGAGGGGACTTGATGCCCGCACTGCGACTCACTGCTTTACTTAGATGTGTTCAACACCCTTGCAATCTGCAGATGATACAACATCTCCCTTTTGTTGTTTCTTTTCTTTTCCATGAAAGAGGGAAGGGGGGAGGAGGAAAAAGGGGGCGGTTGTGTGGGGAGGGTAGCATAGGGCCGTTCCCCTGCGTTGCCTTTGCAGTCATCTAGGCTTTTCGGTGGTGTAAAGGGGGAAGGGAATTGTGTGAGACACGGAGAGGGGCACGACGCGAGAAAGAGTGAGAGAGACACGGGTGCAGAATTACCTGCAGGCATTTCATTTGATTTTATTTGCTTGTCTCTCTCTCTCTCTCTGTGTGTGTGTGTGTCTGCCCGGTTGCGGTACGCAGAGCGGACGAGGAGGAAAAAAAAAAAAAAAGAGTCACAATTTATAACGAAAAATAAAAAAAAAAGAGAGATGCTGCGACGCACACAGCGCTGGCTGCTGCTTAACGTCTCTGGCGAGAGTCCGTCCTTCCGCTCGAAGCCCGTGCGGAACCTTCAGATGGATGTTCAGATGAGCCCTTATAAGGAGCAGTTCAAGGACTACTGGTCCACGCCGGTACCATGGGCGGATCGCGAGTACGGGGAAAAGCCAAAACTTGGAGCTCCTATACCTACGCGCCGCGCGGCCACAGCTATCGTCGTAGGCAAAAACAAGCACGTGGCTGTTGACAAGGTTGAGCGGGGTGAGGACAATGACTACAAGGTGCTGATGATGTTCCGTGAGGGGAAAAACCGTTTTGTGCGCGACCAGTTCATTTTTCCATCGTTTCCCATCAGCTTAGAAGACTCCTCGGAAGACTGGGAGAAAATTCTGCGTCGTCGTGGCGTGAAGACGGCGTGGAACGATTTGCATCACCGCCTTTGCGCGATGCGTGCACTTTTTGCACAGATGAATATTCTTCTGGTGCCCAAAGAGGGCGGTGGGCTTGTAGAGGTTGAAGGACCGCCTGGGCCGAAGAAGTGGCATCTACTCGTTCACTCCCAGCCGAAGGCGATGAAAAACCTTGTGGATGTCCTTGAGTTGCCCATGGAGACATGTCTATCGCAATTGCTTCCTTTTCGCTGCATCACGACACCCACAACGGAGACATTTCGCTTTGACAACCTTGTTTATCTTGTTCCCTTTGAGAAGATACCTGACGTGCGATTTACGATTAGTACGGTTGGAGAGAAACTTGTGTGGGTTTCACCCATGGAGGCCATGGCGAGGTTCAACGCCGGTATTATGAACATGCCGACTCCAAACATCATTGCAATATCGGAGCTGAATAACGAATGCCCGATCTTTGCAGATGTGACAAAACGAAAACCGCATGATGACTATCGCTCCATTCTTCCTGAACTCTACCGTCATAGCCAAACCAAAGTCGCCACTGTTCTTCTTCCTGGTGATCTCATGCATCCCAATACCACGGAAGAAGACAAGGCAGAAAGGTACATTCGTCGATTTGTGTATGAAAAGGACTATCCCTTTGGCATTCGGGCAGTTTTTGAAGAGAGACCCGCAACAACAGAAGAAATGAATGAGCCTTTGATTCAAGAAGCACCAAAATTGTTGGAGGAAGCCAATGAAATGGATATGGTGTACGCCGATACCCCATACCCGAAGCGGGAAAAACAACCGGGAGAGATTGGCCGTACCCGCTTCCCTGTTCCAAGTTACTCTTTTCAAGAAGGCGCTGAGAACGAGGAGGGTGTCATACCCGTCCGCAACAGAAACATTGAGAGTGTCGGTGACCTTTACTCTCAGACAAATTGAGAATGTTTGGGAATTATATTTTTTGTGTATTTTGTCAATTTCAGTCTATGTATATTGAGGAAGGGTGGCTTTCTCTGTTCTAAGAGAAGGAACAGTTATGAGAGGAATGGAATGCCGCGTTGTTGCTTGGATGGTATGTTTTATTGAACGATTTGGTGATGCACCGTTCATATGCTTCCTTTTCTTTTGAGTGGATTTCCCCGCAATGTTAATTTCTCTCATAATCTTCTTTGATTGTTTGTTTGTTTTTCTAACTTTTTAATATCTCTTTTATTTATTTATTTTTTTTTTTTTTTTTTTTTTTTTTTGCTTTTTTGAATGTTGTTTCCTTATGCATTTCTGGATGTGGCTGATTGGGGAGAAGAATGAAGGTGTCTTCCTTCATCTCGCAGTTAAGGCCAGGGTGGTTTCATCTCACTGTACATGCGAAGCCAGGCGCAAGGAGTTCATCGTTGGCGTGTCACCCTGCCGTGACGGATGCAGCGCTTGAGGTCCGCATTGGTGCCCCACCTGTAGAGGGAAAGGCAAACGCTGAACTCGTTGACTTCATGCAGATGCTTCTTGAGCAAGAACTGGCCCGAGTTCGTGCTGCGCAGCAACACACACCGGTGGAAAGCAACGGCGCCTTCATGAATTGTGTATATGACGGCCATTCAAAGAAGGACAAGAAGAAAAACAAGCCAAACACAAAGATGGAATGCCCCGTGAATTACCCGGACAAAGTGCGAGTGTCACTTGTGGGTGGAGCGAGCGCTCGGCATAAGACGCTAGAAGTGGCATTCCCAGGGACGGAGGAGGAACTTATCAGCGTTTTACAGTCCGCGTATGTGTCGTAGCTATTGCGGCGTTGAAGTGTTGTTTCTGTTGCTTTGGAGTGGGTGCTACTGGTGTGTGTGGGCGTAACAAAATGTCTTTCTGGAGATGATAGCATGCTCCTGCAGCGGTGCACCTGTTCTTTTTTGAGCTTCTCTTGTGTTTTTTTGTAGACAATTAGCTGGAGTGAGAGTGTGTGTTTTTTGCTGTTTTTGTTGTTGTTTTACGATTTCTTGACAGGGCTTACGCGGTTGCATACATTTATTTATCTAGAGCGAAGCGAAATTAGGTGGCTTTTTACACCTTAGTGCATACAATTGTGGGCTCAATGCATACGTTCTACACCATCCGCTACCCACCGCCAAACTCCCAGAAAGGGGGAGAAGACAGCCAACCGATTCGAGTTACCAACAAGGCAATGGAGTCGCTGCTTTTTTGCATTGTGCATTCGATCGAGTTTCAGAGTCCCCTGCAGCCATCAAGGCCTCAACTGGGGTCCTCGATAGGGTCCTCCGGTAAGGATTCCATCACGGACGATGAGGCGTATGTGCGTCCGGTGGAGAACTCGAGCATGCTGTTGGGGAATGTGACGTATGTGTCGCGCTCAAAGCACAAACCGAGTGTTCTTGCCTCGCTGCACACGGCTGTTGAGGCTGCTCGTGCCATTCAAATTCCCGAGAAGAGCAGTCAGGTGCCCTTTGAGCTACGGGTGCGGCTTCTGCGCCGGCACCGCGGTTGGCTGTGGCACGACTCACGACCGCTTGTGGAATGGGTGTTCCGTATGGCCAAAACAAGAGAGGAGTTCAGTTTTTCAACCACACATGGTGATGCAAGTGAGCGGCCGCGTCCCCGCACGTCCCCACGTGCAACAAATGCCCACGCGAATGTGGTACGCGCTACGGGTGGAGGTGGTGTTCACAGCCGTTCTCGTGAAGATGGGCTTGTGTGTTCGAACGATCCGGAGCAGATTCGCCAAGTTCTGCAGTTTATTCTGAAGCACAGTTACGATGCCATCGACCTGAACACCTACGCCGACTTCAGGTCCGGGGAGTTGATCTTCGATGTTTCTGTGCAGGAGGTCTAGTGAAGGCTGTGTAGCGGGAATGCAAGTAATGAATGTGCACCTGTGTTCTGATTATATTGCGGATGCTTTTCTTTATCTTACTTCATCGCATGTATCAGAGTTTAATTGAGTTTTAGTGACCTGTAACTCTGTGTCTATCTTTCATTTGCCCGTGTGGGCGTGGCTGGTGAACAGCCAGGCACTCCACTAAAATTTGTTTTTTCTTCTTTAGCTTGTGACGTGTGCAAGGGAAAGGCCGTCTCATGTCTTCTTGTTGTTGTTGTTGTTGCTGACGCCGCAAAGACGTGGCATTGGAAGGTAACGGTGAAGAAACGGTAGAATAGAGCATTTCCCTATTCATGACCCTGCTCGGTGCTGTTCTCGCATTCTACGAGGTCTCGGGTGTGCCACTAGCACTCATATGTACATCACCCAGTGTTCGACAGGCTTGCGAGAAGAATGCAGCGGCGGAAGTGGGATTATGGAAACTATCCCTTGGAAGTGACGGCTCTCGAAGAGTCATTTGGCAACCGTCTGTCCCGGTGCGTCACTGCCACAAGACGGATGTGATGTGCTCTGTGGCATGGTGGTGCAATCGGCTGATGCCCATCGGCGGCAAGGCTCCGCCGACTCGTTTGGACCTTGGCGCTGCAGGACGGTTGCTTGACACCCATCTTCCTATTGTATTTGTCTTCCGCTCGCTTGTGGAACTGACGCTCCGGCGCGCGCCTATCAAGGATGTGAACGTGCTTGGGAAGCTTCCCATGTTGAAGAAGCTTGACCTGGTGCAGGCCCAGGTGGTAGACGGCGGCATCATCGGGCTAGGAGAGAGCAGGAGCCTGGTAGAAGTGGATCTTTGGGGATGCGCCGCAGTGACAAATGCAAACACGCTCGGCAAGGTGCCTACCCTGCGAAGGTTAGTTCTGGCTGAAACCTGCGTCTCTGATGACGGCATTGCTGGCCTGGTCGACGGCCTGAGCATCAACGAGGTGGATCTGGAAGCATGTGCTTTTGTAAAAAGTGTGGGATTCTTTGGTCGACTGCCAGTGTTGCGGAGATTACTTCTGGTATCGACATCGGTCGACAACAATGGCATCATGGAGCTTGGTAGTAGCATGAGTCTCGTGGAAATCGATTTGTGGGGGTGCAGCGCCGTGGATGATGTGAACTCACTGGGAGGGATACCAACGCTGCAAAAATTGGATCTTTTTGGCACCTCTGTGACGAATGAGGGCATCAAGGGCCTAAGAAGGTGCCCCAGTCTTGAGGAAATAGATCTGACGCGTTGTGAAACCGTGAGTGATGTGGAGACCCTGACAAAAATACCGAGATTGCGACGCCTCGTGCTACTGCACACACAAGTTCACGACGTGTTGGAACTGGTTTCGATGGGCGTAACGGTGATCATATGACGCGATTCGTTACAATTGTTTTGAGGAGGAAGCGTGGGTGACATGGGCGCAGACAGTGTGCTTTGATTGGCGTCGTTATTTGTTCTCCACCTTTTAGTCTCCTTCTCTTCTTATTCCTTCCCTTACCATTTTGAACAGTAAGGAGTTGTCTTGAGCTGATGGAGCAGCTAAATGATGATGACGAGAGGGAGAATCTTTATTTTGTAGATCATGGAAGGCCCAAATATAAACACACAGATTTGTTGGCAATGCTGAGAGATGCTCAGTCAGCGATCATCCGTTTTTCTGAAGAGAACCGCGACATCATTGCCGACGCTGTCAACTTTGCATCCACCTCCGAACGGGCGAATACATTACGGAAACTAGAGGAAGCGTACCTTGGCATTGTAAAGGTGCAGGCACCGATGGTCCGCTGCAGCCGGCCGGCATTCCGCAAACTTTGCCGCTTGTGGGGTACGGACGTAAGCTACACGCACATGATCATGGCGGACAGTTTCACTTGCTCTGATGCTGCCCGGCACGCAGATTTCTCTATGTACGCCGGTGAAGAACGTCTTGTGGCTCAAATTGCCTCCTGCAGTGGGCCTGTTGCTGCGGAAGCGGCGACGCTCCTGGCGCCGTATTGTGATGCGATTGATCTCAACTGCGGCTGCCCGCAGCGCTGGATCATAAAAGAGGGCTTGGGCTCGGCACTTCTTCAAAAACCAGAGGTTGTGGCAGACATGGTGCGCTGCATCCACAACGGGCTTTCAGGCGGGGTGGACCTTCCGTGTGTCGTGAAAATGCGCGTAAGCAACGATGTGGGGCGCAGCGTGGATTTTGCCCGTCAGTGTGAGGCGGCTGGATGCGGGTGGATCACAGTGCACGGTCGTACACCGTCCTGCTCCGCGCACGCGCCGGTTCGCCTCGACGCAATACGCACCATTCGGGAATGTGTCTCTGTACCCGTCGTGGCCAATGGCGGGGTAAACAATCCACAGACGGCTCTCAAGACGTCTTTGACAACCGGTGCGGGGGCTGTTATGAGTGCGACGGGTCTTTTGGCGAACCCTGCCTGTTTCTACGTGCCGCGGGAAGGCGAGCTGCTGCTTTTTGCGCCGCAGAGACGCGGTGTCGATGTTGCGCTGGAAGCGTCCATGGGGCCGTGCCGAGGTGCAGACGAAGGAGCTTCTACTGCAGGCAGCGAGAATTCCGCGTGGCTGAAGGGTCTTCCCGGCTGTCCGGTGGAAGTAATATCAGACTTCATTCGCCTTAGCTGTGTGACTGACCTTGCGTCGAAGGCCACCTCAATGCATCTCCTGAAGATGGGTGGGAACTACCTGAGCCCGACGGAGCGTGTCTTTCTGGCGCAGATGCACTCGTCTTTTTCAGTTGTTTCGGCACTCCAGCAGCTTGGATTATACACTCAGGATGGCAAGTTCCGAGTTGTGGAGAGCGTCACATAAGTATCAGGTATCCATAACACATGATTCACTTGCTCGCTCATACACGAAAGTTTTGTGTGAAGAAACTCTTTTGTGTATTCTATCCCTAATTACTCTTTATTCAGTTTCGCCTTGCTACAATTTGCGTGTGTATGTGCGTCTGTTTTTCTGCTTTCTTCCTTCCGGTGCTTCATGGCATTGGAAAACTGGAAATGGTGCGTCGTAGTCAATTTCTGTGTTTGGCCTCCCCCATATACATCTACACATAGGCATAGTACACACGCGCCCCATTAGGAGCTTTTGTTGGTGAAGCGTGGCACCATGCGCAGCGGGTATGACAAGCCGCCGATGGCTCCCCGCAGCTCCAGCTGCGAGAAGCCTAAGTCCATCTTGAAGTCCACAAACAGCAACTTATCGCCTAGCAAATCGCCAACTCTGTCTACGCGGCGTGTTTCCTTCGAGGAGGAGGAGAGTTTTTTGGAGCCGAGGCTGCGGTTTAGTACGCCGACGCACGCTACGCATTCGCATCTTGAGGAAGTGGTAGGGAGAACGCCAGTTGCGACGCGGTCGGAGGTTGTGTCCAGTGGTCCGGTGGACATGCAAATTAGAAGATATGCGGAGTGGAGTGCGTCTGAGCCAACTAGTATGCGTGAACGACCAGCGGACTTGTCGTCCGATTCGCCCCAAGACTCTCCTACCATCATTCATCGCGAGCGCATTCCAGCCATCAGCAACCGTGACGAGAAGGAAGAAAAGGGTGGAACACTTTCTCCCGATAACAATCTCTCAACAGCGACGCTGTCACGAACACCCACTGCAGAAGCTGTCGTCTCCGCGAGGCCATGCAGTGCTGAAGAGTTGTCTCCATTGCCGGATGCGAGCGTCAGTGATACCACGGCTTCTCCCTCTAGTCTTCTATTGCAAGTGGGCCGCTCAGGCAGCAGTCGGTCCTCCATGGAAAACTGCATGCTCGTCGCCACCACCGAGCAATACACGCTGCCGGATTTGAAAGGGACGCTTTTTCCCGACGGGGATACGCGCGCCGGCCGCCATTTGCTGAACATTTCGCCCGTCTCGTCTGAGGCGTGCGGTCGGAGCTTGGTATTACCAGGCGGAAGTGTCTTTTCATCCTTTTCCGTCCAAACATCCCCGATACGAGAGAGCAGCAGTTTGTTTTTTGGACCGTCCTCCCAGCATGAAAAATGGTGTGGCAGCGGTGCAGGAGCCATTGTGCGACCTCCCCGAGCATGGAGCCCGACCGCAGCGGGTGCGAGCAATCATTCCTTATTGCCGCCGCGGCAGGGAGGCGTCGAGGCGCTGTCGTTTGAGGGTGGAGTTAACCCCGATGATCTGGTTTTTGATGACATTCCCGATTGCAGCGTGCCGGAGGCAAATAGTAACGATAATGGACCTCCTCACCTCACGGAGTCACCGCATTGCCGGCGTATGCTCGATTTCTCCATGCAGCTTTACCCCAACCTTGTGCATCCGGAAGAACCGCCGCACACCACTGACTTTCAGGAGTTATCATTCTCCAACTTCACGGACGGTGATGGAGAGAGTGCCTTGCAGGAGCGCAGCGTTCGGAAAGGGTGCCGTGCAGCAGGGGACGATGACCCATTGTCCATGCCACCGCAGCCCTTTTTGCGGGTGTCCAATGCCGGGAAGAAAGGAAAACGTCTTTCTGGGCGGCCATCCCCAACGCACTTTTTGCACGGTGAGTACTCTAACGCCTGTGGCGCCGTGGAAAACCCGCTAGAGCTGACGGATTTTGCTGTGAGGAGCACTGGTGAGGAGGTGCTGGGGATGAAGGAAAACCAAAAGCCCCTGATTTGTCGTGACCAAAAATCGACACCAGATGGTGCCACAACGAATTCCTTATTGGAGTGTTTGCACGCGTCCTCCCAACTCTATCCGAGGCAGGCGAAACCGGTGATGGTCGAGTACATCAACAAGTTGTCCGCTTCTTGGCAGGAGGCTCTTCGCGGTGACATGCATCGCCGTCGCCGTCACCGTGGCCATACCAGCGATGAGGTGCACCAGCCGCATTATCGAAAGGAGATGACGAGGCAGTTATTCCCGGGGGTATTTTTTGGCCATGCATGGACGAATACAGAAACGCATCACGTCAATTGTCTGACGGCAGATACCATTGGCGCGTCTCCGTTAATTCCCATCAAGAAAACAGTGGTTGTCATGCCAAGTCCGAGGAAAACGAAAAAGAAGCGCTGTGGCGCCAAGCCAGTCACCACCACTGCTGTGGCTACTCCTCCAGCTATTAGCAGCAGCAGCAGCAGAAAAGTTGACGACTGTCGTGCGGAGGGAGAAAAGGCCACTCCAGAGAAGCTTCTGCGTGAAGAAGCATGTGCCGAGTCGGAGGAGTTTGAGGACGTACACTCGTACGTTGCGCAATTGACGCCAGTATTCGGCATGACTCCATCAGGTGTGGCAACATATAGTTCGCAGAAGGAGTCGAGGAACTCCGACAGAAAGAAGGCGGCACGCACCCCCACAAGCGTCGAGAAGAGTGGGAGTCGCTGCAATTTGGGGAGCGTGCGGGAGCACTGCAGCGTAAAAACAACGAAAGAGGTGGAAATGGAGAAAGAGGAAGAGGAAAGAAGCGCTAAGCGGTTCGAGAGACTTTGCCGCGCCTTGCGGCCACTCTCAAACGAAGGCGCGTTTTTTTCAGGTGATAAAGCCTGCATTACGGGCTGCGGTGGCCATCGTCCCCTGCGAGATCACGATTACAGTCACCCTGCTGCTAACAACGACTTGTCTGGGTCTTTCCGCTGCCAAAAGTCCACGCAGCCAAAGAAGAAATTCCCGCCGTTGCCGTCGCCTTCGCCGTTGCCGTCGCCGCCTTTTTTAACAGTGGAGGGTCTCATACACACGCCCGAGCAGGCCGCATCGCTGGTGGGAAGTGAAGAGGCAGCGGACTCGCGGCCCATCGCCCTGTTCGCACCAGCGCGCTCTGTGTCACCGCCAGGGCTTTTTCCCGGCAACAGGGCCGAGGACAGCGGAAAAAATGTATTGAAAAGCCACGTCGGCGTACTGACGGAGCGCTGCGTGAGCAACCGATCGGCGGTGAGGGCGTTTGCCCGCGAAATCTTTGATATTGTACACGCGCTGAGAGAGAGCAACTGGGCGAAGATTTTGTAAGCTTTTCATTTAGATGTACTGTTAGATTTGGTTTGGAATTGTGTATATGTGTACGTGTGGGCGGCTGTTTCGGAGTCTAACCGAGTTGTATATTTGAATATGAAAGAAAAAAAAAAAAATGGAAAAACACAGGGACGGTGCTTTTGACGGGCCTATTCCGGAAGTGTGAATTGGGGTATGGTATACTGAGACGCACGGCACTGCATGCGGCCACTAAGGAACTGTTCTACATACAGACATATGGACGATTGCGCGCGTATGCGTTGCCTGGACAAACACATGCACCCATCTCCTTTGATTTACCTTTTGCTCTTTTTCCTTTCTTTTCTTTTGAGATACGTGTAGTGAGATTTGCTAGGTGAGAAAAACAAGGAACAACCACTGCTTTCCCGTAACACGAGTGGGAATGACGGTCCCGCTGACTGAAGAGGATCTGCATGAACTGTACCTCTGGGTGGATGACATCCCCCTTTCTCGCCCGAAACGCAACATCACGCGTGACTTTAGCGATGGTTGCTGCGTGGCAGAGGTGGTGAAGTTCTTTTTCCCGCGGCTGGTTGACCTGCATAACTACACCCCTTCGATGTCAATGAAACTAAAGCGGGACAACTGGGAGACCTTGAACAACCGCGTTTTTCGCAAGCTTCACTTTGAGGTGCCACCGGAGGAGATCAACGACATCACGGCGGGCGTGCCAGGGGCGATTGAGCGCTTCCTCCGCGCTCTTCGGACGAAGATTGCGCAGATCAAGGCCCGCCGCGAGAAGATGAGTGCGCTGGAGATGGGCCATGGCGGCAGTGACGATGAAAACAACGACGGGGGCGATGGTAGAGGCGGTGGTGGTGGTGGTTGGACGACGTCGGGGAGGCCGTGGGCGGCGAAGAGGCAGGCAAAGTACCCTGAACACCGTCCAGGAAGTGGCGTGGGGGCCGATCCCGCGGCGTATCGGTCGCCCTCTAACGTGAGGAATGTTTCCGAGATGCAACCGAGCAACAAGAGCAGTAGAGATAATAAACGGAACGATAACGGTGACGACGCCACCACGAGCTTTCGCCTGCTGCTGGATGAGAAGGACCGCACCATTTTTGAGCTTCGCGAGACAGTCAGCCTGCTGAGCGAGAAGGTAACGAAACTGGAGGAGTTGGTCCGTGTGAAAGACGAGAAGCTGAATGCCTATCGAGAGAAACTTGGGCGCCATTGAGGTTTTTTTTTCTTGGAGAAGGCGGAGCCGAGGGGGCGGGTAATTGCACGCCGACAAAGGAGAGTCTCAGTGAGGTCTAGCGTTGTCGCCAATAGAAGCAACGGGTGCTTTTTCGTTCTTGTTGGGCGTGGGACGGAGAACCTCAGATGCCTTTTTACCCTTGCAAAAGGAAAATAGCGTCCGTATTTTTGCGTTGAACACACTGCGACACCCATACGCGTCAAGAAACACAAGCAGCGGGAGAGATGTGGGTTGATCTTCTCTCCATCTATTTTGCCCATGACACCTTTTGTGCCTCAGATGTGTGCATTCTCTCTCTTATTCTTTTTCTTTTTGTTGTTTGCCATTTACTATTTGGCCCAAGCGAATCGGAAAGAATTGAAAGCTGGGTGTTTTCTTACTGGTTTAATTGGCCGCCGCCGCTGCCGCCTGATAAGGAACGATAATGAGTGCCCGTATTCAGGTTCCTTTGTCGCAGCGGCGTCACACAAACGTTGCCGTTGTGCGCTACACAAAAAATGGGGTTAGATTGGAGATTGCCTGTTACAAAAACAAGGTGATATCGTACCGCGGCGGAATTGAGACACGCATGGACGAGGTGCTTCAGGTGGAGCGCGTCTTCACCAATGTCTCCCGTGGTCTATATTCCTCCGAGAAGGAGATTGAGGCTGTTTTTGGGAAGGGAACAAGCGAAAAGGAGGCACTGCAGTACATCCTTGATCATGGTGAGCTGCAGGTTGCGCAGCAGGAGCGAGCAGCGGAGATAGATCAGATGTTCATTGATATT